GGGTTCATAATGCATTGTAAAAACGCTTTGAGTAGCATTTATGCTAGAAAAGCGCTAAAACAGTCATTATTATTATTATATTATTGTAAAATAATGTTCATACTCAAAGGAAGATCTTGTTACAGGAAATACACCTGTGAAATATAAAAACACTAGTAATAACTGTTCAAAAGTTATGACTTAGGTTACAGTTTTTAAAAAGTGGATGAAATACCTATGTCAAGGTCAAATCATTTAAAGGAATGGTCAAGATTTATGTTTAGTATTTTTGTAAAAGTAGGTCAAGCTGTAAAGTCAATGTCATGAGATAAAATATGGTGGTACCAATAGAAAGGTCTTGTCACATGGAATACACCTGTAAAATATAAAAATTATAACTTATGAACCACACAATACTAGTAGTTATTGTCTACGTAAACGTTTACAAAAGACCAAAAGAAAGCATAGACAAACAGACACTCAGACAGAGAGGACCAAAAAATATCCCCGGAATTTTTCGATCCAGGGGGCGTAAAAAGAATTATTGGATAAAATTCACAGAGGAACAAAATTAGCATATTTACATACAAGGCACAGCGCTAGCAGTCGTTGTATGTTACACAAATTATATCCTTCCTAATGTTGACAATGGTGCAAACAAGTATACAGAAAAAGATGGCGAAGGGGTGTGGTTAAGTCACAAGAAGTCCTCCTTGTTTACACTGATATTTCAGAAATTCACAGGGCAATACAAAATGCCCAAGTTTTCCTTTTTACTTTTCATGAAATGCCCAATCATTATGAGAGAATTAAATATGAATCTGCACAAAATATTACACATTATAATTATACAAAAATAAAATTATTTATACATCTTACTACGAAGTCGATTTTTCCTTCTTGCCATTGCAAACATTGAAACCACAACTTTATCTCAACTTGATTGTAGATAAAAGAAACTTGAAGCTTGGAGAAACATGCTTTTCAGACGAACAATGCCATAATTCAAAGGGACGCCGAAAATGTTCAAACAATCGCTGCGCATGTGAAGAAAGATTTATAGGATATACTTTTATGGATAAATGTGTTCCTGGTTTGTTGACAACATTGTTATATTTCGTATATATTTTCCTAGTAAATGAATTATCAATTTGTTGTTCAAAGATAGGCATAAAGGTTCACATTACGAACATTGTTTTCACGTCTTTAACTTTTATTATCTTTTAAAATTATTATTTTTATTCGTTATTGCTAAAATATTTTTAGATTCCATCCATGAAAGAGGTGCTTCATATGGAGAAGAATGCCTATTCAGCGAGCAATATAATTTTTATGGAGGAGTCTGTTCAAGAAGCCAAACATGCTCTTGTCGACCTGGTTTCTTTTACAATACTGACAAAAAGCATTGTTATCAAGGTAATCCTAAAGGAATTAAAAATAGTCTTTTCGACTAAACTTATATATTGAGATAAACGAGCCAGTTTAAAGAATTTGTGCCCATGGCATAAGAATAAAAAACTTAAGGAAAGAAGAGGGTGTTCAGATTGGGATGGGAGTGTTTGTATCCCTCTTCCCAATCTAATGATTTGCATAATAATTGGCGGTTTAACGAACAGTACTCAAGATCAAAATCCATAAAACAATACAAAATAGGTGCAGAACAAATTAAGACACCGAAAACATTAGAGGTGGGATCAGGTGCCATACAGGAATGAACATCCCCAGCCGACCCCTCATACCCGCGGTGTGTTCTTTGTAGTGATCAGAATATAACAGGAAAATCCGTCGTCAATTCAGTGTAAAATAATGGACTATTAATAAGTATGAAAATTGTCAGTCGTCATTTGATTCAATGATAAATTGTATTTGCTAACAAGGTCATAGTATCAACCATAGAACGTAGAAAATGATGATTTTAATCTAAAATGCAGATAATTTGGTGTCATCATCTTGTTTGTCATTACGTCGTTTTAAAATATTTGACTGCTTATTCATTACAATTTGTTCGCGAGAACATATATTTTAATGTAAGATATGTACATAGTGTAATAATAGCTCATATACGACATAAGTCATATTTTCTTATTTCATATGCTAAAAACTATCAGTAAGTAAATTAGAAAATAATGATTTGCACCAGGGACATCTTACATGATAAGCGATTATCTTTTCCCTCGTCAATGGAGGAATTTCACGGTGAGAAGATTTTAATGCAAATGGTATTTCACTATACATGTTTACATCACGAGCGACATTGTTATGATTTTATTTGAAAACATTTAATAAGAAACAGTGTGTCTAGTTTAGCCTCTAGATTCTAGTTTAGCATCTACGGTAACATTTTGATTTCATAATCAATATGCTACTTTAAGGTCATCTAAAATTGCATTACAGAAGCTGAAAGGCTTCTCGAGATATCGCATGTAAACGAAAGTGTTACAGACGGAGATAAATAAAGACAGGTAGACGGACAGCTAGATAGTCAGAAAGACATCTATACTGCTGGACGGACAAACAGACAAGTAGACATTAAAATATAATTAGAATCTTACTATGTATATTACAAGGAAGTTTTTTTTTCTTATTTGTTCGAAACCCGAAAAATCTACGGAATAAAATGTGCATACTACTTTATATACATTATACTTAATTTATTAATTTATTTATTATTATTTTATCTTTATCAATTAGATGTACAGGTACTTGGCATTGTTATAGCAACTGGTATTCCTGGACTAGTTATTGGTGTTTTCACGGGATTTGTCTTAATGTTCATTACTCTAAGAAAAACATAAAGGTGAGATACTAGGCCTCCCATATAAAAATATAACCAAACATTGATCTGTTATTAGCAAATTTATAACAAACTTGGTTGAAATAAAATAAATTCCTAATTCTTGAAATGTAAAAATTGTTTTCTTTGTCAAACTGTAAGAATTGAAAAAAAAGTTTTTTTTTTAAAATAATTATCCAGTTTTAAATTATTTTACATCATTGACTTGAGCTAATTAAAATGATTTTTTCAGGAACAAAAATTTAATTATGATTATCAAGTGTTTGGTGATTGGTCCTCTGCAGTTGGAAACATCAACTTAAACGACTTACTTTTACGTTGATAATAACTCTAAAAAAGGAGTTTTGTTGTAATGGTGAATGTTCCATATCTGTTTCATTTTATTCTAATAAAATCAAACTTAAACACATTTCATTTCTTTGTTTACATTTATATTGTAAGGATTAGTATGTTATCAACCAATGATATAATTATATATGTACATGTGTATCTAAAGCACTTGCATAAAACTGATTTTTATAATATTTTTATTTTTTGAAAGACTGTAAACGTTTTCTAGTCCTCAATTAAGATTTTATATTATTATAACAAATCTCATTTTTACCAGTCGGCTCTTTCTTGAGAAATTCGGGTATCTTATTGTTTACCTGATGCAGACAAAGAGTAGAGTTTGAATGAGGTTCCATGGAGGAGTTAGCATCCCCTGTTAACTGATCATAATCATCAAGTATTCCTTCTCATGATTGAGAAAAACCGGAAAATCCGTAGTTTCAGCGTATATAAATTAATGACCAAACTACTGTATTACTTAGAAAAACGTCACTTAGCATTTGATTTTAAAAAATGTGTACATCCGTATGTGTCGTAACTTTTTTTTTCAAAAAGCACTAGTCCTAAACTTCTTAGAAACAGACCCAGGGGCAACCTTTTTACAGGGTGTTGGAGGCCAGAAATGATTAATTTTGTTTTGGTTAAATCATGCATCACTCCCAGGGACCGGAACAATGAAAAACGAATAATTAAAACACTATTTTGGATGTTTTATTATCTATTTTTTGCACCCCTTTGAACTAAGCTAAAAAAGAAATTTTTAAATCGATATTTATCACCACAAATTCAATATTTTATAGAATCGCCTCTCATTGCGTATCTTTATCCACATAAATATGCTACTTCTACAGTTAATACATTAAAATGTCAACGATCTTCATCTGTAGAAGATACATCCTCCAGAGCTGACATCATTACACTATTGTTCCTAAAATACAGCAAACATGATCATGATTAGTAATATGTAAAAAAAAAAAATCCAAATTCGTTCTCTATTGTTTCGTTTAAGTTCAACTGCTCAAACGGTGTAACGGACGAAACGAACTGCCACTAGTATAACTAGCAACATAGAATATGATCAATGGATCTGGATGAATAAAATGTTCTCTCCACTTACACAAGTTTTTTTTTTTTTACATATAATAATTTTCTCACATATCAACACATAAAAGATTAAAAAAAATATCAAACCATTAATAGTTTACTAAATCAAGTTGAGTATAGAAAACAAGAACAGATCAAAAACAAGGATCCATAGGACGGAAAAGCCGGAATCAGCAGTCTAGAAACCCTAACAAAAAATACAATTGTTAAGTATAATTTACTATAGATAACAGTAAATCAAAGTGTCAAAGTTTTCGCCCATGTTTTTCAAAGTGTCAAGGTTTTCGTCACAGTTTTTCAAAGTGTAAGAGTTTTCGTCAAAGTTTTTCAAAGTGTCAAAGTTTTCGCAAAATTATTTCAAAGTGTAAAAGTTTTCGCTAAAGTTTTTCAAAGTGTTTTGATAAAGTTTTTCAAGGTGTCAATGTTTATAAAAAAGTTTTTTTATGTGGCAAAGTTTTCACCAAATTATACAAAAGTTTTCGATAAAGTTTTTGAAAGTGTCAGAATTTTTCAATAAAAATTTTTAAAGTGTCGAGATTTTCAATAAACTTTTTCAAAGTGTCAAAGTCTTCGATAAAGTTTTTCGAAGTATCAAATTATCCAATTTTTGATAAAGTTTTTTTAGTATCAAAGTTTTCGATAAAAATTTTCAAAATCTACCTTAAACCGTACTGCAATCATGGAAGTATAAAGGAACTACATATCAAAAATAGAGAGAAAAGGAAATCCTGCGTAGATGATGGCCAACCCGAAGCAAAGAACACCCTTCATACAGAGTCTACAAGCAAGCAAAGCGCCAGTTTACAATGCCCTTTAGCAGGCCCGAAGGCAATATGAAAAAGAACAGTTTGAACATTTACAAGAAACACCAGAGATAGACATAGGGTTGTTCTACCGGACTATAAGACGCCGTAACAAGAAATCATGGACATCTCACGAACTGCATGTCAATGGAGAAATCGTTGAGTTCATGATATTATTTGGAATGCTTGGTATACACACATAAAACAAGATCAATCTTTTGATCATGAATTTGAGAATACAATATGTAAGAAGTTTCTAAAATACACGCGATTTCAAAGGATAATTGCGATAGTATAAGCGTAGTATACATAACCGCAAATGAAGTCACTTCAGCACTACGTAAAATGCAAAACTGCAAAGCTCCAGGATTTGATGGGATTGTAGCAGAACATATCACGCATGCGGAAGATATCCTACTCACACACCTTGTGAATTTATTCAACGCAGTCATGGAAACAGAAAGTTATCCTCGTCAATTTAAAAAAGGAGTGACAATTGCCCATTTCAATGGAGGTAATAAAGACAAATTAGATGAGAATAGCGATATAACTCTTATGTATGTTTTACAAAAACTCTTTAAAAACATACTATACGCAAGAATACAAAATTACAGCATCAAAAAAAGCTTTGTCCATCCTCTAAAATAAGGATTTAGACCAAGATGCGGTAGTTAAATGGCAGCATTTGTCTTAACCGAAACTGTGAATCACTATCTAGAAAGAGATTCAGATTTGTACGTAGCATTTTTGGATAACGAGAAGGCCTTCAACAGCTTGTACGTGGCACACGGGTTTGTTCTATAAACTGTTTCACATTGGTATAAATGGAAAAGGATGGCGTCTTCTTTTTGACTCGTTTCACAACACAACCTCTCGTATATTATATGATGGAAACATGTCAGAGGAATATGTTTTACAACAAGACGTTGGGCAAGGACGGGTCTTGTTCTCTTAGTTCTTTTTACTTATGATTGACGACCTTATACATAAATTAGATCATCTCAATATCGGTTTTGCGAGTTTGCGATCTTCATGTTCCTTGCGTCATCCTTGCTGACGACACCATGGAATCATCTCTGTAGATCTAGCTCTAGCTACACTTTATTTTCTAAGCGTCTGTTTATTGCAAGGTTGTGTTCCTTTTCCGATAATACTCTTCAGAAGAAACGCGGATTTTAGACTGTATTTATAAGATTATGAAAACTTAATTGGAATCAGTACATCAACAATCTCATAAACCATTCTTCTTATAATGAATGGAGGGCTTCACTTGGATATCGACCAGAACTAAATCGTTTTGCAGATATACATCAAGAACTTACACTTCATCCGCTTTGGACACTCAGCCTTGTACACCCGAAGTTTACCTGGAAACTATTCGAACTCATAAATCTTTCAATTACATATGAGACAGAAGAAGTATTATGCAAATTATGCAAAAGAAGTACACAGAATATCGTGAACACTTCATCTTAGACTGTTTGAATCTGTACAAAAGCTGCGAACACCTCATAACCCTGATCGTTAATTGTTTATCAGTGAACACATATGTCGATCTCGAACACTTGCCCGAAACTACTATGGTGAATATTCTTCTAGGTTCTAGAAAGGATGGAACTATCCCAGAAGAGGAATGGACAACCTTTGTATTGTCGGTATCTTCCGGCATCACAGTAATGTTGAAGAACATGAAAACTCTTTTATAGTTAAAGATAAAAAAACTTATCGAGTTTCATTGTAAAGAAAAAAAAAGCTCATGAACTCTTTTGCTCAATGCACTTGTACATATATAATTATTTAATGCACTGTTGTCGCTAAATGTTTATCAATATGATATGACCAGTCTCTATACTGTAGAGGAAATAAAGAATGTCTGTCTGTCTGAAAGTGTCAAAGTTTTCGATAAAGTTTTTGACGACTATAGTAAACTATAGCTAATCAGCCCCCTCGCGATAACTGCGGTACTACTCTTTTGCAGGGCAAATTACTAACGTTTGGCGAAATTTTTGTTGATAGATAATAAGACAATTGCTTTTACGTCATATTTCGCAAAAATATGTCATTTTTTCCTGCAAAAGAGTAGTACCGCAGTTATCGTGAAAGGGTCTATTATAGTATTTTTTGTTAAGGAAGATGAATCCACTTCGAGCGGTCAGCTCAATTATCAGCAGTATTACATGCATATGTTAGTTAACTAGGCAAAAGAAGTAAACAGTAGTTTTAATGTTGAATCAAAACACTGATGGTACGGAACATGTCAGACAGATTGCGATTGAAATTTTCGTTGTATACACCGTCAAAAACAAAAAAAGAAATTTGCTGAATGCTGATTACATATGATTACTTCTGAAAACACATAAACATAAAAATTTTAGTCAGTATAGCAACTTTCATTGATAAAATGATCTTACTCAGAATATGCTGTGAGTTCAAATATGTGAGTTTCCATTTATAAGAAAAGGCTTTAAAATTATTTCTTCTCAAGAACAACAAAGCTATGAATTGTCATATTTATATGGGAACATCCTCAGATTGTGTAGATTAAAGTTTGTTCAAATCATAATTTCTGGGGATAGGTTGGGGCCAAAACGAATGATCAAATTTTGAAATAGAAATATACAGGAAAAGTAATTTAATTTTTTTTTCTCTTGAAAGAACAACAAAGCCACAATTGATCATCGCAGTAATGATAAGGCTGTCCGAAGGCTTAAAATGTCTAAAAAATATAAATTTTATTTTGAGCTAAATTTTAATTTCAATATGTTATCCTTGTTTGAAATTGTCGTCAACTTGAGATAACAGTTTAATCAGGTATTATAATAAAACATTTCTGTGATGTCAGATGACTGTGTTGATCATGTGACGGACATTTTTGATATTCTTAAATGTTGCACAAAAATCGCATCGGCACAAGTGCATAACACAATTATTGTGCAAAGTTTGTTACATAGATCTATTCATCGTGACCCATGGTACCTAAAAACTGCTGGGGGCAGGTTTAATTTTTTCTTCTTAAGAAAATATTTTACGATAAATTAAAATTACCAACGTAAGAAGGGGTATTTTCCACTCTTTATCGCGATTTATACAAAAACGGATAAACTACATACGATCCCCCAGCAAAATTCAGTTAGAGGACATACTTCTCTTTCAGATTCACGCAGAATATCTTCAATTTATCCTTGTCTTTCACTTGTGCTAGTCCAATATAAACACGATTCATAAATTCTAACTTTGTCTACGGAAGTGTTAGGGGAGCGTTTCAAACATAATTTTTTGCTATTGCTTGAATGTATGCATATCGAACAAATAAAAGGAATAGAGATAATCAAATATCAAATGTTAAACATTATAACAACACATACAAGCTTAAAAAACAAACCCTTCTATTGAATTTAAACACAAATCCCCATAATAAATCTACATGCCGTGTAATAATTATGACACTTTCCCCGTCATGTCAGCTCAAGTATGCAGTAACTTGACGTCATATTCTATTATGACGTCATATCTAGGTAGTTCAGAGAAGTTACTACAGTTTGAACAGTTAGATATTTTACGGACAGCCTTATCCTAGCTGCGATATTTATATGGAAGCATCCTCAGGAAATGAAGATTAAAAATTGGTCAAATCATAGCCTCCAGAGGTAGGATGGGACTTTAATGGATAATCAAGATTTTACATTTACGTATGCGAGGAATTTTTTGAAAAGTTCGTGGACTAATGTGATTAAATTAATACTATGAAGTCTAAGCTTACAATTTTTTAAGGATCATCATACAACAAAATTAAAGAAATGAGGACAGTGTTACCTTAATACAGTAAGTATTTATCAAATCATCTTAAAATAAAAAACATTATATGGTCACACGGCGCAGTCGCCATTTAATTTCATTTTTCATTGTTCTTCGAGGTCAACATTTTCTTTCTCATACACTTATCCTTGGATTTCATAAAAGAGATAATATGGATTTGATTTTACAATGCCATGAACAGCTGATTTTTATGCATATGATTAAGAATTTTTGAAGATCCATGAGGTTATGAACTACGACGATTCTCGCCGGTGTAAAAACGAATGATGACTACCATATGCATCGAATAATGACCGGGGTCATTTTTCAACGACAAAAAATGACTCCCTATCCGTAGAAAAAAATCATTTTTTGTAGAAAAAGTGTCCTAGGGGTCATTATTTTATGTGTGCATTATGGCCAATATACTTCTTCATCATTTTTTTTTTGCCCCCTAACAATTTCAGCTTTAATTCACATGGAGTCATTTTTCTACGGAGGTCATTTTTCTTCACGCGGGTTCTGCAAAGTTCAGGGTGGTGACACTTTTTCTACGGGCAAAGGGTCATTTTTCTTCGTCGAATAATGACCGGGGGTCATTTTTCGCTTTCGAAAAATGACCCCCGGTCATTATTCGATTGGGGGCATTATTCGTCTTTATAGGCATATTTCATGAGGCGCGTTCGCGCTTCATGATAAATATGCCGGCGTGAATCGCTGTAGTTCATATACCTCATAAATCTTCAGAAATTACTACTCATGATCAATGTCACTTTTCGACGGGACAAACTTTGAACACCCTTACAAAAAATCGCCATGAACTCTTACATCTGTCCTTTGACTAATCTTTTTTGGCATTTATAAACAAGTTCTTCGAATTAACTTTATTATCCCATTTAAATATTTCCTAGATCTGTGCCTGTTTTTGCTATAGCTAGGGGTTGAAACTTTATAGATACGTATCCCCTTTAAGACGTCATTATACTACTAATTTGTTTTGATTTTTCATATATAATTCACTACAAAATTTAAAAGAAATAGGGTAAAGATTGCAGGTTTAATTTACGGTACAATTGCGTTATACTGCATGACAGAATCAACGGAATATTTGGATGACAATGCTTATTTTAAAAAAAAAACTTTTTTTCTCAGTCGCACTTCGGTTGAAAAATGTAACTTTCGAGGTTGCGACGATGGACATACCATAACTTTAAAACACATCAATAACTCATTGAATCACAAAACTAACGATGTATAGTTAATTTAAAAAAAAAATAAAAAAAAAGATGCTGCTAATTGAACGTAGAAAAATTCAATATATCTTAATTTTAATTCTATACGCTAGTTCACGAACTTTCTGAACAACCCTCCTATTTTGATACATCTTTTAGGAACTTCTCAAGAACAACAGAGTCATGAGTGGACATATTGATATGGAAGCAACCTCAGGTAGTGTAAATTTAAATCTATTCAATTCATGCCCACTTTGGGTAGGGTGGGGCAACAACGGACGATCAAAGTTTGACATAAGAATATATAGGAAAAATCTTGAAAAATGTTCTTTTGAAGAACAGTAAAGCCATAAATAGTCATATGGGAGCAACCCCAGGTAGTGAAGATTAACACTTCTTTAAATCATTACACCCAGGGGTAGGATGTTGCAAAAATGAAATTTTGAACTTTAAGGAGGAAAGGCCACAGTAAGTCAAAGAAATATGTATGCATCCTTAGTCGATTTAAGTTAATTCAAATTATCCTCCTTTATCCCTTTCAGGGGGAGTTTAGACCACAGACATTTTAGCTTTTCAAAACTGGATTAATTTTTCTTTTTTCCCAGCCACATGGATTAGCTGAATGATGTGGTCCATGGGCCTCTTGTTGTCAGTGATGGATTGCTTATTTGATTGTATTCCCTCCCGATAATTTTTCACTCATATGGAGACCCCAGAAACGAATTGGAGGAAAATCACATCAAACAGAAATCACACGTGATTTTGCTTATTTCAAGTTTAATCTATCACTATTTATGATCTACAATGGATTTTACTTCATCACTATCATTCTAAACCTTATGTAACGTCAGAACTGCGGAATATAAAATCTAAATTCATTGAATAAACATATGATAAAGAGGGAAACTTGAGATATTATATTGCAACCCTTTCATAATTTAAACGTACCTGTTTAATTGTCCAAATCTTTTAAGGATAAGATACATTGTGATAAGGCCAACCAAAAGACCAACAATTAAACCAGAAAATGCAGATCCTACTGCAGCGCCAAGTATCCTTTTAACTAAAGAACACAAATCATAGCAGTCAAATGAATAAATGTGTATCTCTGCAACTTAATACTAAAAATCAAAACCATAAAAATATGACTTTCTTTAAAATAAAAATTATAAACACACCAACATTTAAATTAAAACATGTTTATCGATTAAAAGATTTAAATTTAATTATAACTATCAAGAAAAATAAGCAAAAGTGCGAAATATCTTCTTTCAATATGTTTTGATATGATAAATTAAAAAGTATTAGCATTATCTTGAAATTGTAAAATCATTCCCTGCACTCAATTACATGTAAATAACATGATAATGAAAAAATCCAATATCTTAATATGAAATATCTAAAATACAGACTTCCTTATTTTCAGCATAAATGAATGTAAATGTAAGTTACCTTTGTCTGATGACGGCTCTTTGTTTCCTTGAAGAAAAAAGACAAAAATTACAACTTTTATTACAGAAAAAATAAGAGTGATTGCAAAATTGTGTTGATAATAAAAGTAATAAAAAACACAGGTTCATCAGTACAGAGGATTTAATCATTTTCATAAGGACATATTTATTTTTTATAAAGAATTCACAAGTGCATGCTTTACGTATGAGCATTTTCTAAAACGAAGAATTGACAAACTGGTTGATGAAACAATATTTTTAGCATTCTCGTTTCAAGTCATCATTAGGTAAGTTCTATGGTCGATACATGTACAATGACCTTGTCAGCAAATACAATGTATTGAGTCAAATGTTCACAGTGTGTGTATGTGACCAATCTGCAAGGGATGCTCTCACATCTGTGCTCTGTGGCACCTGTTCCCACATCTGATGTTTTGGAGGTCCATGTTTGCTTTGTTCCTATTTTGAATTGCATGTTTCGATCTTGCATACTGTTCATAATACTCGTACTAGTAAACAAACCTTTCTTTTTCAGTAGGACTGACCTTCATAACAAATTTTCTCCTCGACATTGTAAATTTGGTTATTTTTACAGGCGCAGGTTTTGTTTCTTGAACAAACTCCTCCAATAAAAATGCACTGTTCGTTGATTTCGCATTCTTCTCCATATGGAAGGCCTTTTATAAAGAAAGTCAGGTAAACGTAAAATCAATATAATATTTATGTTGATAATAATACAAATAATAATGCAGCAACATGTTATAAAAATATTTAATACATGTATAACATTAATTTTATTTTAAAAGAGGCTGATTTCAGCTGATTAGCTACATGTATGATCATCTTGATGAAGGAGAAATCAGTTTAGTATTGAAAAGTTTAAATATAAACATGTATACATTTATGTATTTGGTCATAATTACTTAAGGGGAATGGTATGATGAGAATAAAATTCGAATCTACAAAAACTGAAAATGATATATATAAATTTCTCTTAATAATTGGTTATGAAGTTTTTCAAGATTTTACTCTGCACGTTTGATCTTCTTTTGCGGCCCGATTCAATTCCAGTGGGCGTGGTTTACATAGTCTCGATTCTACACTACATGAAAATCCTTAATAAATATTTCACTAGATAGACTTTTCTTTTCTTCAATCGTCGATTATCTGTCGGGTCCCTGGACAAACCTTAATCTATACTACTTGAAGGGATTCAAAGTAAAACAAGACTTTTGCAATCCAAAAATCTTTCTAATTTGATCCATTTTAAAAATCTTTTTCATGTTTTTAATAGTACAATTTTGATATTCGGGGCATAAAGCAACTTTTTGAGTTAGTGGGGAGCTATAGCTATTCACAACCCTATATCTGAGCAAAAAGAAAACAAAATGATAATAATTAAAATAAACTTTTCAAAAGTGAGGGGGGATCCAAACACACTAGTAATATGACAAAACTGAAATAAAATTTTAGTCGTCTTTACAAAATTGAGAATAATATTTCGTGAAAGGGATCTTTTAAAAAACTTATTTTTAATTTACTCACAGAATTTACAATTATTATATTTTACTATATTTCAAAAAGTCGGGGGAGGGGGTGTCTCTTTATCTGAACAAACATTAACAAGTATACCGTTTGGCAATTTTCTTATTAAATTGGATCATTAGTTTTCAAAAGAGAGTCGGAAATATAAAGCCAAAACAAACAACAAAGACATCAACAGCAACAATGGATAACGTACAATTTTTGATCATAAAAGACTCACGTGAGTGTTTGACTCAGGTGAGTTAAAAGCCTATAAAATGGGATTTCCCTCGCAATGTTCATTGTTATATAGAAATACTAATAGTAGCATCTACAAGTTGAAATTTATACTGATAATTTTACCCAACAAATGTGAAGATATTTACCACGTACCACGAACACATTGGTTATAATATTCAATATATCCTTCTTCACACAAACAGCGATTCATTACACATCTAAGTAAACTGCTTGTGTTGTGGCATTGTTCTTCGGAAGTGCATATTTCTCCAAACTGCGCATTTGTCTTATCTACAGTTTTTTTGAAAACATTTTTGATTAATTAATCATTCTGTCTCAAACTTCTTAAAACAATGCATAGAACACAGTCAGTTTCACATTATATGGTTGTTAAAGTCTTTAAAAATACATATTATATATTGCAAAAGTTTACTCATAATATTACTCAATTTCTTTACATATCATATACACTGTACGTACGGTAAATGTTAAAATCGCAGTGTCCTTGTATTTTAACATATCTATGTGGTCGAAAATTATTGCAACAGAACGGTTGTGAGAAATAGAAAAATCCAATTTCTTTCCCTAGAGGTTTGGGTGGTTTTCCCCAAAATGAACGGATATAACACCTATCATTTTCGTTCTTCAAGCGAACAACAGCTGTCACAGAACACGGAATCGTACAATTGCCATCATCTTTAAAAATAAAACTTTGTTAATTTATCATTATATACAAGTTTTGTCTGTAGAATAAACAGACATCAAGTAAACATGAAGTCAGGTGCAATGCAGTAAAAATACTAAAATTTTGGAAACATAACATCTCACGAAAACAAGTTTTAAGAATTTATGTAAAGAATTCATATTTTTTTTCGTTTTAAGTGAATAATTTTCTCATAAATATTGTTTTTTAATATATTTTTTTCAAGATAACAAAATTACTTTGGGAATGAAATCAATAAGATTTTTTAGGATGCAGCGTTGGCTCATGATTATTACTCTGTTTTTGACACTTCTTTCAGTAAATTATTTTAATTAACCGAATTTCCTTTTTTTCTTCTGGAGACATTAGGGATGCAGTACGTGTGTATGTGATTGTGTGTTTGAGAGTGTTTGTGTGAGGTTGTAAGAAAGGGAGTGCATGTACATCTGTGTCTTATTGAAATATACACAATATATCAGGATTATTGCGTGAATTGAAATTAATGAGATTCACTACACATATATGCGATATTTGTTGATAGCAACGGAACAGAGGTTTCACAAAGAAAATAATTTCATTTTCAAAGTTTATAGTCCTTATATCTTCTTTACTTAAATAGGTTTTAATGGTATGTTATTTAGGTACAAAATGAATTCAACATAATTAAAAATGTGCTTTTTTCCATGGAATATAAGAATATGATTACCTTGAGTTATATTATGAAAGTTGATATGTGTTTCACCGAGTGTGTTGCATATAAGAGGACCATTGATATTTTGTATAAGAACCAGTACATCCTGTGCGCACATCCTGAAAATAATAAAGAACGAAATGAAACTGAAATAAACACAAAAGATAATTACGAATATAGCACATTTGATAACAAAAACTCTTAACATCAAATAACAGTTCAGGTCTGGGTTTTTTTTTTCAATTTTATCAATATCTAATAATATAATCACATCAGCTTAGATTTTAAACAAAAGTAAATAATGATATTTAATATCTCTAGTCTAGAGTTATAAAGAGTCGGATGAAAAAAAATCTGAACTATATAAAGTAGAACAAACCTTATAACCGGCAAATAAGACTGTCGATGCAACTGAGATTTTGTTTTTCGCTATGTCAGAGACTTAGGCATTCGCAAGAAAACGAAATATCACTGCTCAATGGTACTTAGTGCTGAGAATAGGACACAATTTGCAGCTTTCCACCAGCAAGTGGTGGCGTATCCAGTATGAGTGAAAAAAATCTCTTGAGGGACGTTAAACAAGAAAGCAAACAAACAAACAAAACTATTTCGGTTTCCGTTTTGGCTATGCCATAAATATAAAGCTATTACTTCTTATAACACAAAAAAGATTAAGACAATGATTTAAATTTTAATCATTGTGCAGCCTTCGCGGTAGAGCGCTAGCTAAGTGATCAGAGAGTCATGGGTTTGAGTTTTAGCCTCAACTTTTCCTGAACAATGCGCTCTGCCGACACTATGAAGTGAAACTGCGAGTTTTTCAGATGAAATCTTAACTGAGACCCCGTGTCACGTACGGTATGCCTTGGCACTACTGAGATTCCTCACTTCTTAAAGGCCATGAGTGTCGAGTAAAGGTCCAAATTTAAGGCGCTTCATAGTTACATTGTAAACTCTTCGCTGGTCGATGCGATGACCTTGTCAGCAAATACAATTTATCATTGAGACAAATGCTGACTGACGTATTTCATACTAATTGTTGATCCATTATTTATACAAAGGTGTCAGCAGGGTATGCTCACTCCTCCATGGCACCTGATCCCATCTCTTATGTTTCGGATGTCCGTGTTTGTTCTGCTCCTAATTTGTATTGTTTTATGGACTTTGATATTGAATACTATTCATTATCTCAATATCCTTCTTCTTAAATGGAGAATAAACAACATACATATACATTCCTATATCCTTGTCCGAGAAAACGTTTAAAACCGACCATATATGATTAAAACTGCTACCTCATGATCATATTTTGTTGCATTAATGATTTAGGCCCTTTACAGCATGATTGCAAAATCTAAATAGTATGTGTTGTTTAATAACAGTGTAACAAATGCTTGAATTTGGTGGGTTAGGTTATTTTGGCTGTCATGTACGGCAGATAGGGAAAGAAATGACAACTAATTAAAAAAAATATTGCGATCGAGAACATTGATTCGATTTTTTAAAAAAAGAATATTAATTTATTGTATCCTATTAGGCTTCAAATTCCGGAAAATATTTTTGATGTAAATTTCGATGCTGTCTCTAGAAGTTACTTTAAAACAGTATCAAACTTTATAAGTATTTCCAACATGAATAATATTGTTTAAAAAAGGTCAATTGGTGCTTTACGAGTCATACCCGGTATATCTTTTGTATTTCTAAGGACACGGAACGAAAAAAAGGTATTGTCGAAAAAATGACCTCGTCAGCAAATGCATCTTATTATAATCTTAAATGCTGACTTTTGTTATTCTTACTTATTGTTTCGACATTATTTAGACACTTAAATGTAGATGAATTTTTTTTTTGTTATTTTCCAGTCGTAACAAGGAAGACATGACCGATTTATATGGGATGCTTATTTCACCTGAAATATGGCACCTGATCCCACCTCTGATGTTTTTTAGGTCTGTGTTTGTTCTGCGCATATTTTAATGGCCTTTTGAGCCTACATACTATTTGTTATCTCCATAGATATCATATTGAAAACAGTGAAATTTGATGGACCATGATAGTAAAAGGTTCAAATATAATACATTCATTTTGACTCAAAATCCAAGAGACCCGTGGGCATCCGGGTTCGAATAGGTCCTCAGTACCCCCTTGCTTGTCGTAAAAGGCGACTAAATGGGGCGGTCCTTCGGATGAGACCATAAAAAACGAGGCCCCGTGTCATAGCAGGTGTGGCACGATAAAGATCCCTCCCTGCTCAAAGGCCGTAAGTGCCGAGCATAGTCCTGAATTTGCAGCCCTTCACCGGCAATGGTGATGTCTCCATATCAGTGAAATATTCTGGGGAGGGACGTTAAACAGTATACAATCAATCAATCAATCAAAATCCAAGACTTGTGTTATGATTACCTTAGAAGTGAGACTTGTTGGAAACAACAGCTATCGAATCATCAAGCAAAACATAATCCACATGTCGAAGACTATGTAATTTTTATGAAGTAAAATGAAACATAAAGACTTACTGTTGAGCTAGGTGATTTTATATACATGATTGCTATATGAAAAAAGTAAAGCTGTGCTAAACATCCACAAAATGACATTTTTATGATATTTGTTGTCAAAGGAAATACCTCCAAGCACTATATTAATGCATATATTTAGCATAATTATTTGGTAATTATTCCTTACATCACTGGTTTGATTCCAATAGCTCTATAGGATACGCTGATTTGAAAGAAGCATACACATAAAAGACTGTGTAGGGCTTTTCCTGAAAAGGTAAAAAAATAATTGAAAAAATATCATAGATTTGTTAATAAATTTATCTATAAATATTTCTGTAATCAACTGACAGTTTTGCTGAATTTTGCTGAACATAAAACACAGAAGAAACTTATCTGTTTAATAATAAAAAAATGTTTTGAATACCACTAGTATTTTGAAAAAGAATCTGCAACTTCAAACTTATGTATTTTTTATATATATTTCTTACATTGTATTGCTTAAATAAGTTTGTACGGATATAGTTTATGTATTAAATACAAACTTTTACCCGATCTCCATGTGTAAGAGGTAGACATTTCCCTTTATAAGTTATCTTCACTTTCTTTCTTTTAACTTATCTTTCTTATTACGACTGACTGCTTCTTACAGGCCCTCTGAAACATAATATAAAGCTTTCCAGTTTTACTTTGAGGTAAAAACATTACGTTTACAGATAATAGTTTTGTGTACCTTTTTGGAAAATGTTTAAGTACAGTATTTAAATATTTGAAATATATCTATTTACTCAGTGGACTTATATGAGGCATTATAGAAATATTTCCATTCTATTTGTTTTTTGTGTGATAACTCTTTGGAAATTATATTAGTAGATTGGATTTCTTGATTATTTTTCTGGCATGCAAATTTAGCTAAGCAATAGACAGTCTAATGTGCATTTTCAATTTCGTGTGTTTTTCATTGTGTCAGACAATAAGGAGGTCTAATATGCATGTAAATCTCGCTAGGTTTTTGTTGTTGTTGTTGTTGTTTAACGTCAGTAGGCGTTGACTATTAAGGACAGATGATACAAACAATTTTTTTCTTTGAAAAAGATTAAATATCATGTCACAAGTTAAGAAAAGTGGATGGTTCTTAAAATTTTTTCTCCGAAGAACAGGAAAATGAAATTTATTTGGAAAATATTATTAATATTTCAATATAAAAACGAAAATAGACAAATCACACCCAGTAAAGGTTTACAGGTGAAAATAAATTTCAGAATATGTTATCCTGGCGATAAAAGTGTAATATAAACCTTAGAAAAATATACCAAGCCAGGTGAATTTTAAGAGGAAGATCGAAATGACAAAAAATTGGCAATATCACATAGGCTGATTTTTACCATTTAGCTTTTCCTAATAAAACTTACCTGGCTCGGTATATTTTTCTTAAGTTTATATTACACTTTAAGCAACATAACATATTCTGAAATTTATTTTCACCTGTAAACCTTTACTAAATGTGATTCGTCTATATTTGTTTTTTCATTGAAATATTACTAATATTTTCCAAGTCTTTTTCATATTCTAGTTCTTCGGAGAAAAAATTCTAAGAACCATCCACTTTTCTTAACTTGTGACATGATATTTAATCTTTTTCAAAGAAAAAAATTGTTTGTATCATCTGTCCTTAAAATTGAGATGGGATCGATGCCTCGTGTAATCCTATTGATATTAGACTACATTTTTTAGATCTAAATTTACGATTTTATTTCACAATGAAAAGTAAATTTGTGGAGTCGCTGTCAAGTTAATAGAGTATGTCAGGAACATCAACAATCGTTTGAAAAATGGGATAATGTATGCAGAACGGGCTCTGTCTTATCGTCTCAAGCCACGGTCCGGAGTCCGCATATATAGCTCTCTCCTACCCGTGGCTGCTTGATCACAAAGTGTCGTAATCTTGAATATCTACGCCTCTCTACTGTGACGTCATATTCAGTCAGTGGCAAATTTTGTTTCCATCGCAATCCAAATCAACAACTGACGTCAACAGTATACAGGAAATATTTCCTATACTGAGATTGGATATTGAAAGGTCGCGATAAGTTCATCGTCCGACTATTCTTTACTCGCATTGGTCAATTTTTTAATGAGCTTCGACGAATTCTCTCCTCGTTCAACCACGGCCAGATGGGAGAGGAGCGTACATTTTGGCCGTGGTTGGCGACGATGGCTCTGTCCGTTACGCAAATTATCCCATTTTTTCAACAATCGTAATCCCCAATCATATTCCATTAACTTGACAGTGATTTTTTAAATCAATCAACAATAAAAAGGTAACACATTAACAAAGGATTGACATATCCATGTATACAATATCTATTTAGGGGTGTTGGAAGGAATTTCAATTGTAAAATGAAAACAATTTTACAAAAAACAAATTCATAATTAATTCAGGGGTATTCCAATAGTGAATTGAAATACATTGCAATTTTACCCATGAATTATGAATAGAAAAATCAATATTCAACCATATTTTATTTATAAGATTGTACTTTATTTTATTATATACCCATCAATTTCCTTGTTTTTGTTACTGTGTTTATTTTACAGAGTTTGATACGATTTTCCAGATCACCACACTGTGGTTTTCTGAATCCATATCACCACTCTCTGAAACTGATGACGTAGTACGCAAAAACATGACGTTATTTTTCTTGCGCGTTAAAAAGTCCCTTGTTATTATGCTTTGTTTTATGGATAAATATTATACAATTGATCTCTAAAGTTTTATTCTGCTATATTTAGCTAGTTATAAGGGGGTATATAATAAATTTATCATTATAACAGTAACTTGATCCGAAGAGCCGTATCACGTCTCGTTGACAGGCTCGGATCATCAGATCAAACTCGACGCTTCGCGTCTCGTCAGATCTGATGATCCGCGCCTGTCAACTCGATGTGATACGACCCTTCGGATCAAGTTACTGTTTTAATAACATATATGTATCATCTTAGTTAAGTTGTTAGGCGTTTGTTTATATGATATACTTTTTTACGGAATAGGGAGGCTAAGCCTTTGACCGTGTACGTCTACTTGTGGATGCAAACCTAGAAGTGGTTTTGCAAGTACGGATGATTACCGTAATGTTCTGTTTAACAAACTGTACGTTTTCCAGTACATGAAAAACGTAACTTCAGCAAGATACTTTACAATCCATTTGTATAAAAAAATTCATGACTTTGATTAAGAAAGATACAGTGGATGTACGTAGTAAATTCTCACCTCCATATTAAACACCCCCTGCAAAATACTTATTATAATAATTTGAGTGAAAGAAGCTACAAGCTCCCACCTCTGTTGACTTACGCGTTGTGTACAAATTGTAGAATTATAGTATGTAACACTGATTACGTAAATCGCTGTAAATCAGGGGATTTTTCTACCTACAGGCACACGTAGACGTACACGCCCATCTGCTTCACCTCTCTTATATCTCGTATATCTGGCCGATGTATAGGGCTCATGTTGGGTTTGGAAAAGAGGGATGTTTACTCCTATACTAGTAATCTAGTCCTACCTTTGGTATTTCCATAAATCCGTATTTACGCCCTCTGTAGACATTTGTATCGTTCAAATCTTTAGGATCGTTCACTGTCCGAGATATTGAGCAGGCTTTTATTAAAACACTTTTGTAAAGATATCATGATAAAAAGTATATTAACTGTCCTTTTTCAAAATATTAAATGAAAACATTTATAAGTATTAAATATCTAGGCACCTAGGGTGAGCTCGCTAAATGTTATGTTCCAAGATATGATTAATGTGTCAATGTATTTAAGTTTTGCACAAAAATTAGCTATGTATTACTTTTGTGAATTAAACGATAAAACATGCATAAAAAAGAAAATGTTTCTATCATCTAGTTTATTTAGGTTGAGTCGTTTAATAAATTGAAAAATTCAAGTTTTATTATATAATAGTATAATATCTCATCCTGGTTATGCTTTAGTCTCAGAAATAGGTTTACATACCAGACAGTTTATTCCATTTTCGTCAAAATATTTTAAATGGATTCTACGTCTTTCTTTTTAGTTGTTTACATTTGCTTCAAAATGTGGGTCATATCCCAAATGCATTGAACCGACACGATGTTCGTTTAAAAGGCTGGTGTATTTCCGTACATTAAAAATTAAAATCGATAGAGTTGACGCATCTTCTAAATAAACTTTTTTGGGTGACACAAAGAACCAATTTCCACGAGGATTTTTCCCCAACAAGATCAAACACTTTCCTTTTTATTTTTTTCAAATTGCACCTACATTCTCCAAAATTCAAAATTAGTAGCTTGTCTTGCAAGCATGTACTTCCCGACCAATATAAATTATGTTAAAGAAACAATATTTCTATTTGCTTGTGCTTTTTATACATCGTCTTGAATTTGTTGTGCAGAACACTGTACATAAAGGGTTAAATGTTGCTTTGATGAAACATTTTCAATCCAGCGTATAAGGCACATCGATTAGAGGCTTTACAAGCTGGCTTACAGTGACTTGTTCTTGGTATTATTAGAAGTATATAATCGAATCAACAAGATATAGGTCTTAGGGTGTATTTAATATATATAAAATAATCTTTGATGCAAGTTTCATTAAATATTTTCATCATTTATGCCTTTACATGTGAGAGAACATTTTAATATGTGAAAATGTAAAATAGGAAACTGGAGAGAACAATATAATTTAACATTGAATTAATGTAATAGATATTTACTATTCATAATCATGTATGCAATACCATAGCATTATGATGTCAATCATGGATGATGAATCTTCTACAGATGATGATAGGTGACACTTTAATGTTTAAACTTGATTTATCATATTTGTGTGCATAAAAATACTCACTAATGACTGATTCTGTAATATATCCCTTTAAAAAATGTTTTGAAGAAGGATAGGACTAATGCTTTTCGAAAAACAGTTTTGACACATAAATATGTACTACTTTTTGGAAATCAAATGCTACTTTTTAAGTGACTTTTTTTTCAAATCAATTGTTAGGCCATTAATTGAACCGCTGAATTGTCTACAAATTTTCACGTTATTTCTGAATCCTGACAAGGTACACACGATGGGTGTGACCAGTTGACGGGGGATGCTAACTCCATCATGGCACCTCATCCACCTCTGCTCCTTGTTTGTTTAAGGTTACATGTAATATGCCGGATTTTCTTCAGAAAGTGCAGGAAAAACAGATTTGTTATTATAATGTACATGCAACCACAATGTATTCAAATCTTTATTAAGGAATACAAAACTTTAACAGCCTTTGAAAAAATAAAGATGCAAAAAATGAGTTCTATGCTAGTGATTATAATACATGTATAATTATATTTTTGTTCGACAATATGCTAATCCATAGTATATAAATGGCAACAAAGAAATAAAATGAATTAAGATTATGGGTAAATTTGATTTTACTAGAATAAAACGAAACTGATATGGAACATACTCAAAAACAACAAAACGTATTATTTAGAGTCAATATCAACGTAAAAGTCAGTCGTTTAAGTTCATAAAAATCATGTTCATGTTATCACCTGCAAAGGATCTATCACCAAATACTCGATATATATTGAATTTTTGTTCCTGAAAAAAAAAAACATCAAACCTAGCTGAAGTCAATGTAAAAAATTTTTAAAAATGTATAGCTGTAGCGTAAATTTTTTTCTGCAATATGTAAATTGACGAAGAAGTCAATTTTTACATTTTTAGTATTTTTTAGAATTTATTTTATTTTATTTATTTCGACCGAGTGTGTTATACATTTGCTAATTAAAGATCAATAATTGAATATACTTTCAAATGATAGGCCTGATATCTCACCTTTATCTTTTCTTTTGAGTAATGAACATTACGACAAATCCTGTTAAAACACCAATGATAAGTCCAGGAATACCTGTTGCTATAACAATGCCAAGTACTTGTACATCTAAACGAAAAATAAAAACAAATTAGATAATAAAGTAATTACTGGTTTTGTAAAAAAAAAAAAGGTATGCACATTTTATTCAGTAGATCTTTCGGGTTTCAATTAACACTTCCTTATTAGATAAGATCGAAATCGGATGATACATTCGTGTTCATCTGTGCATATTCTAGTAAAACAGTGTTAAATGCAAACCTTTTACTGAAAAAAGTATATGAATAAAAGTATTTTCTTCATGTTTTCTGGTCTGTTTGTCCGTCTGTCCGTCTTTATAGCTGTCTTTCTGTTTGTCTAGCTGTTCGTCTGTCTAGCTGTATTTATTGTCCGTCTGTAATACTTCCATTTCCACACTATATTACTATATGGACAAGGGAAAAGATAATCACTTAGCATGTAAGATGTCCCCGGTTCAAATTCAAGGGTTTTTATATTTACTAAGTTGTGTACAAACTATAACTACATTGTGGTAAATATTTTACATTAGAAGAATTCATGTCTCTCTGATCACATTTTATTGAATAAGCAGTCAGATCTTTTAAAAACGATGTTAAGTATTGACAAACAAGTTGATGAAACAAGACTTTCAGCAGTCTCGGTCAAGATCAAAAGAGTCACGTCATCATTTCGTACGTTCTATGTTCGATACAATAACTTTGTCAGCAAATACAAATTATCATTGTGTCAAATGCGTTTTTCATACTAATTGTTTGTCCATTATTTATACACTGAATTGACGACAGATTTTCCCGTTATTTCCCGATCATGATAAGGAGCACACGGGGGTGTGACCGGTCGACAGGGTATGCTCACACCTGCATGGCACCTGATCCAACCTGTGATGTTTTGGAGGTCTGTGTTTGCTCTGCTCCCATTTTGAATTGTTGTATGGACTTTTGATATTGATTACTGTTCGTTACATATGTATATCTATATTTTTCATCCATATTGGCATTTTTATTTGCTTCAGTACATATATTTTATAATTCCGCAAATCTGGAGAAGAGGAAGAGAGGGTATGTGAACACCCCACTCCAATCTAAACACACTTCTGTTTTTTCTTTAAGCGGGGGACACATATTTCTTTAGTTAAAGATATATGTTAAGACCAAAAAAATAAGCCTATTTTGAATTCCCTTGGGCTTACCTTGATAACAATGTTTTTTGTCATTGTTGTAAAAGAGGCCAGATCGGCAGGAGCATGTTCGGTTTCGTGAACAGACTCCTCCATAAAAATTACAGTGTTCGCTGAATAGGCATTCTTCGCCATATGAAGCGCCCTTTTCAAGAACAGATTCTAAAAAAATTATTTTAGTAATAATGTATAATATAAAATAATTCTAAAAAAGATATAATTTTAAAACATGGAAAAAATTGTCCTTAAGGCTATTATTAATGCATATCTTTGAAAAACAAAATTGTGTTCAGGAATTGATATTCAAATTGCTAAAAACTGTATCAAATATAACAATGTTGTCAACAAACCAGGTACACATTTATCCATGAAAGCATATCCAATAAATCTATCTACACATGAGCAGCGATTGTTTGAACATTTTCGGCGTCTCTTTGAGTCATAGCATTGTTTGTCTGAAAAGCATGTATCTCCAAGCTTCAAGTTTCTTTTATCTACAATTTAGATGGAATAATAATGTTGTGGTTTCTGTTTGCATTGAAGGAAAATTCTTCTTTGTAATAAGGTAAATGAATAACTTTATCTTTGTATTATAAGGTGTAATATTCTGTGCAAATTCATATAAAAATACTATTTTTTTATAATTTATCTCAGACTAATGTTTTTTTTTTCTATTTGGTCAAAATCAGAAAGCATTGGGCATTTCATGAAGAGTCAAAAAAGAAAAATTATTCACTATGGCATTTTTTTGTGCTGTGAATTTCTGAAATTTCAGTGTAAACAAGGAGGACTTTTGTTAACCTACCAACCCTCCTTCCCAATCTTTTACCTGTATACTTATTTGCAGCGTTGTCAAGATTAGGAGGGATAATTTGTGCTACATACAAAGACTGCTGCTTGTGTCTTGTATGTACAAATACTGATTTTGTTCCTTTACATTTGATCAAATAACTGTTTTATGTCCAAATATGGAAAGATCCCGTATGCATATTGATTTTCGCCCTCTCTGTCTGTTTGTTTTTGTTTTCTGTCTGTCTGTTGTAAACTTTTATATTGCCCATGCCTATTGAGTGGATAAAGTTATGGTTTTGATATTTCACAGGTGTATTCCATGTGACAAGGCCTTTCTTTTGGGTACCACCAAAATTGATCTTGACCTTAGAATTTGACATATTTTTCCAAAAAATACTACAGTAATCTTTGCTACATGTAACTGTTGAAAAGTTATGATCAAGGTGAGAGTTTTTAAAAAGTGGATGAAACTATTCGGTCAAGATCAAAAGATTAAAAATATCAATACCAGCTGAAAGGTCTTGTCACAACTACATGTAATACACATGTGAAGTATGAAAGCCCTGGCTCCAACTGTTCAAAAGTTATACATGTAGTCTATGTCTTTCATATTTCACAGGTGTATTCCTTGTAACAAGACCCCCCTTCGGTCGGTACAAACATTTTAACCTTGACCCTTGGAATTTGACATGCATTTGACAGAGTTTAACCCTCGCCATAATCTGCCATTCGGGGGCATCAGTGTTCCTCCAATACATCTTGTTTCTTCATATTTTTACTCTAAATTGACTCTAAATTTAGAATGACTAAAAATATACTTCCTCAACCATAAATTTAATTCATAAATGCAAGGCTTTTCTGCATGCTAATTTATGACATTTGTTTTGAAACTTTTTTCATGAGTCTATGTTTATGCCACATTCCTTTCTAAACCAAATGTCCCATGTTTGTTGATTTTGACTTTTAAATATACATGTAAAAAGTACTTACGGTAGATACTGTAATCGCATATTCCGTTAATGCGAATTAAATTAAAATATGACAAGCCGCTCACGCAAAGAAAATTTTTCGAGATATAAAGATGTCCGAGTTTTCTCTTCCTATACATGAAGTCTGCTGAAAAATCTCCCACCAAAAAAGAAAATGGACTAGTAAGTCTTTTGGTTGAAGCTGTCATTGAACACTGGATCACACAGTTTCTACCATCTTCAAAAGATAGTAAAATCTTTAAAGTTCAGTTACACTATGTACCTAAAATCATTTAAATTTTAATCATTTTAATTCTTAAAAACTTTCACATTGATAACTCAAAATGGAATTTAATTCTAAATGAATTGGGTATTAATGCATACAAAGATCAATTTGTATTGATCAATAATTAACAGAAAATTCCGTAAAAACTAAAATATAAAACAGTTTTATTGTGTAACCGTCAATATAATATCACATCCTTCAAAATATAACCGAACATTAGGTTTAACTCTCAAACAATACATGTGTATAATCAATATCAAACAACAGAACTTGCAAAAGCTGACTAAGAATTAAATTGTGAAAAGCTTTTGGAAAATCACCGAAATTATTTGGAGATGGTCTTGTTAAAATACTTAATTGAAATTAATATTTGCTGTTTATATCTGTATGACATCACAAAAAATCTAACTGGGAAGCAAAGTAAACGAGAAAGGCCAGTGAAAGACAAAACAGGGAAACAAGTAGAAGGGGAAAAAGAACAAAGAAGGAAATGGAAAGAAACTTTTGAAGAATTGCTGAATAGGTCAGTTTCACCTAACCCTCCTAACACGAAGACCTAGAGATAGACTCCTACTAAGGAGGAAATAAAATAACCCTAAAACAAATGAGGAATGGTGAGTCAGCCGGACCTGATAATATTCCGGTTGAGGCACTTAGAGCTGATTATGACAACTCAACGAACATACTCCACCCACTTTTTTCTAAAAATATTGGAGTCAGAAACAATCCGAGAAGAATGGAAAGAAGGATACCCATTAAAGCTTCCAAAGAGGAGACCTCAGAAATGGTGCCAACTATAGAGGAATAACACAGTTGGATGTGCCAGGGAATGTATTTAACAGGATAATACTGAACAGAATAAAAGAAGTGGATGATAAGTTACGTGACCAATAAGCTGAATTTTGTAAAAATTTATCTTGTACGGACCAGATAGAAACGTTGCGCATTATCATCAAGCAATGTGCTGAATGGAACTTCTCCCTCTATATAGGCTCCATAGATTACGAGAAAGTCTTTGACAGTGTTGACAGGAAGACAATATGAAAACTTCTGCGACGTTATGGAGTTCCTTGTAAAGTGGTAAATATCATCCGCTTCTCTTATGAACACCTGACATGCAGGGACATTCATGGAGGACAACTGACAGAACAATTCAATGTAAAAATAGGAGATCGTCAGGGATTTATTTGTCACCCTTTCTGTTTCTTTTTACAATATATTGGATAAAGAAATCATTCACAGACAATAGAAGAAATGGATTACAGTGGACACCATGGTCACAGATAGACGACCTAGACGTCGCGGATGATCTGGATTTCCTATCACGTACCCAGGTACAAATGCAGGAGAAAATTACAACACTATCAGAAACTTCAGCACAGATAGGATTCAACATCAATATCGCAAACACAAAGATCCTAAGAGCAAACACAACATCACATGCTCCATTAAATGTAGACAAGAATAGATATGGGTTACCCCATATCCAAAGATATTCGACTTTTAGATTTAATATGCTTATCAGTGTTTATAATGACGTTAATAAAAAAACTGCAATGTCTAGGGCCTAGTTATGGAACTGGTGTAAATTTCGTGAGCATGGTGAGGTCACCCAGTCTCCTAACAAACGGTACACATAGGCCTACATGAACCTGTGTCCGCAAGACCAACATTAGCCTTGATCTACACACGTGCGATGGAGCTGTTAAACGCATCCAGCGAGCTCGGAGGAACACGTTTTGTTTTGCCGAGAAGTTACGATGGCAGACAAAACTTTTCTTTTCTTAATTAGATCATATGAATACGAATTCTGATTAATAAAAATTATACAATCCCTGTTGAACTATATATAGTTTGTTCTAACATTTGCATCTGCAACAACTTGTGTTTAAAATGGCCGTGTTAGGAAAATCAAGACCGGATCGGAAAATTCTAAACTGAAAACCTTTTTTGTTTTGAAAATTACTGAAATATGCTAATGTATTCGTCGCAGATATTACTTACATTATTCAAGTTCTATATAAAATGGTAAGCCTATGCTGAACTCCAACACGAACCCGAATGTCCGACCCAGTTCTCGTTTTGCCACACATTTTATCCCCTACAGTTTACAAAGTGTACACACGTGAGCAGAATCCAGCCAGGGATTGAAAATTCCGTCATTTAATAATATACACACACAGAATGATTTATTTTTTCTTAAAAGGAAATTGTATGATAATTAACAGACTATAAACATGTACTTAATACAATTGTTGATATAGTATTATCAATTCATCGGTGAAAAAATATGAATCGAAGAATGACCTAAATATTCTCTATTATCAAACATGTAAAAAAAAAAAAAGGCTGAGGAGGGAGCGAGCGTAGGAATATTGATATTTTCTATTTGCATTTCGGGGGGAAAGTGATTTTCTAATAATATTTTGACGTTATTTTTGATTTCTTTAACGTATGAAATACACAACTTCACTCTTATCATGAACAATAATGTTGTATCTACTTAATCATGATGGAACTATTTTGGTCGGACCAATTTGTGTGAGCTGCCGCTGAAAACAATAATATATCTTGCAGAGATAGTATGCATTGATCGAATATATTAAAAATCGGGAAAAAGAGGAAGTAGAATATATCACCTACATTGGCAGTATAGTTGACTAACAAGGAAGTACAGAAGCTGACATTAGGGAAAGAATAGGAAAGGCAAAAGTAGCATTCCTGCAATTTGGAAACATCTGGAAGACCAAGGGAATAACAACATGCACCAAAGTTGGACTTTTTAACACCAATGTTAAAGCTGCGCTTCTCTATGGTTCCGAGAAATGGAGGGTGGCCGTTGCCACTATAAACAGGATCCAGACATTTTTCAACTTTCGTCTGAGACGCATCCTCCAGATTAAATGGCGTAACAAAGCAAGTAACACCAATCTATAGCAAAGAACAAATAATGCCCCCATAGAAGCAAAATAATGCAGAGAAGGTGAAGGTTGAGCATACTCTGCGCAAGTCATATAAGAAATCACCATGCAAGTCCTAGCCTGGAACCCCTGAGGAAAACGTAAGAGAGAGAGGGGGCCAAAGAACACCTTGTGGAGGGATTTGGAGGCAGACGTCAAAAGAATGGGGAAGAATTGAAAGGAGATATAAATCATTGCTCATGATAGAGGGGGCTGGAGGAATCTTGTGAGCGGCCTATGCCCCAAAAGGGGTAGCAGGCATAACTAAGTAAATTGCAATCAATTTCTTAAGATTTCATTCATTTTGTTATTGAAAAAACCTATTAGGGTCGACGAACGTAGAAAACTAATACCTTGAGTCAAATTTTGCAACAAGACATGTGTCCTGTTTTCTGCATAATAATAACATGAACCATCCGTAGTAGATACATTCAGATACTGTAGAACAACCAACACATCCTCAGCACACAATCTGAAAGGTAAAGAAAAACAAAATTAAAAAAAATGGATAAAATTTATTATTAACTAAATATTTACATAAAGGTGAACACCTATACTGAAAGGAAAAAGAAACGCATTAGAATCTAATATGCGAAATCGTTTTTCTATGCGGCCAAAAATTAGGAAATTTTGTCAGAGTTGTATCATGGCTACCATACCATGCTCAAAATTACTCAACAATGAAATGTATAACCTCACGTAGGGAAAGGGGTAAAAAAGCCAAAAAAGCATCTGCATTTAGAAGATGACAGTTTTATAATCTCATATTGTATTACCAATTGATTCCTGTGAGATATAGACATCGGTTTTGCATATTTGCCGTCAGTATAATTTTTTGCACTCATGGTATGTCCAACGGAAATGTCATTTTATCTAGTAATTGAATTGCATAAGTAAATAAAAAGACAAGGTAACAACACGATGCTGTGCAGTTTTTTTTATTTTTCCACCAAAAGACACTTTTCAGTTGTAAGATAGGAATATGAAATGTTTCCAACCAACCCTGACGGTGACCTTGTAGCGTTACAAAGTCACATTAAGATTGGGCTTTTCATCATACCACCTCGGTAATCGTCATATACGTAATGTTTAACGGGAAGATATATCCATTGTTCGTATTGACTTCCTTTGAAACATTTACATTTACCAAACCATCTGGACTCTGTAAATTCTATTATTTTCATTCATCCCAAATTTGTAGAATTAACTAATTCTAACTATTAACTAAAGAGTTAATGACTTTATAAACTACGGCTACTCTCGAGTAACTTTTATCTACCCTGTCGGAAGGGTTGATGCATATCCCAATGAGAAAGATAAATGCTCTTATAAACCTAATGCAAAAGAGAATCAAGACTGATGCTAATTCGTAATGGAAATAAGATGACTCTTCATTTTCACTTTTCGGGGATATAGACATGTGAATTTCAATAACTTATAAATTATCCGTCAAAATCACATTAGACTTTTTAAACTTGTTTTTTTAAAGATTAATTCAAATGTTTGCATGATTACAATACTTGAAAACACATTCGAACTAATAGTTTTTATTTAATTTAAAATTTTACTATACTTTTTTCCTTTCATAATAATATTCAGTTTAAGTTGCAGTAGGAAAGATGCACATACATGTAATTTTTTAAAGCTATTCGAGAGTATTTGGCATTATTTCTTCTCCTGTTTCGATATGAAAACATCTATAATTTCTATAAAATTGACATTTATAACACTTGATTTAGCAAATTAAGAACACATAAAACCTTCCGTAATTTTAAGGAGTTAATTTTAAATGCTACATCGTCTACGTTTAGGGCTAAACAAAATATAATGATCGGTCTTGATGAGTGTAAATTGTTCAACGTCCTTTTCGAGAATATTTTACTAATATGCACAGTCAGTCACATGCCGGCGTAGAGCTACATATCTTGTCCTATATTCTGTCATCAGGGCCATTGAGCAGTGATGTTAGGGATCTTGTTTATGAAAGCTCCTACTGCTACATGGGACCTCGGTTTATACGGTCTCATCCGAAGGGCCGGTCTCCACGTCCCACATTGGGACACGAACCCGCGATGTGAGGATTAAATTCTTACTTTGTGACTTTAGAGCAGTCGCTCTTACAACTATTCCACTATACCTTTCGAGGTCAGCAGTTTAAATTAATAAGGATAATGTTATCAAGAAAAAAATTAAAAAGCATATGGCTTTACTAATGATTTAATACTAACAGAGACAAATTCTTTGCAATCGTATTTTTTGTTCAATGACAAGGGAATTCTTCAGCTTAAAGCAGAATTTGATCAATTCAGAACAACGAATGAGATTAAATCAACTTGAGTCTTTACTTTCATATCTTCTGTAGGTTTATCTTCGGAAAAAAGTCCGACGGCAACATCATCCTGATGAGTGGGGTTCTAGAACTCATTCATCTTGTTGGTCATGCTAAGGAAAAATGCAGCGATTCATGATTTATTCCATAAACGGGGGCCTGAAAATTCTACAGTTGTTTTGTTGACCATATCTTAACTGTTTTACTTTCATTTACAATCATTTCCCACATTCACAAATTTTTAAATCGAAAAGGATTCTACAAGAAGAAAGTCATATTTTGTTTATGAAATAAAATCACAATATGTCTGCTTTGATACCGTCACTTCACGCAGCTTTTTGTATAAAATACGTATAGTTCTCATTTCTAAGCAAGATATAAAAAAAAATATTCAAGCTCAAGTCTATTTCACAATTCAAATCAGGAGCAAGGCAAATAATGGACCTCCAAAACATAAGAGGTGGGATCCGGTGACATGGAGCATTGGGTAACCCCTGCTGACCGGACACATTCGCCAAGTGTTCCTTGTCAAACCCGAAAAATACCAAAAAATGCGTCAATATTTCACTGCGTAAATAATGGCATAACATTAAGTAAATAACATATATTTCAGATACTACTTACCTCAGCTCTGTCAAGTTTTCTTTTAATTAAAAAAGTTTTGCAGCAAATGTCGATGCATATTTGTAGGGGAAGCCTTTAAATTGGATTATAATGGAATAAAGGACTAGATCCATATGTGATGGAGAATATTACTGGACTTAACCGCGTCGATTTCTTTGTTGGATATTAAAGTTTAAGAAATGACGGTTTCTTTTAGATGCATCTTATTCCGTAAAACGCTGCGGTTAAAAAAATTATGTTACCAATTAAAGATCCGTAGGTAAATGCTCAGTGTCTAGTTTTCTAGTTAATCTGATATTCCCGTTGTCTACATAAAGGTGCACTCAGTGATCGACTGTATGTATAATGCCAATTCTTTCTAGAATTCTTACAATTCTTCTTTAGAATTGCCAAATTACAATGCTCGTATAAAAACTTGTCCCCATTGTTAATTTGAAATCTATATATCCTAATATTCCTTTATTAAGTGAACTCTTTGGGGTTAAGATGATTCCTACCTTCTCCCCTCCCCCGTGCCAATGTAGCCATATTCACAAATTCAAAGTAAGCATTGAACTGTTCTAATGACTTTTTGTGGTTAATGTTGCTATAATCTAGAATCATTTTAATTTGTTGGAGTCAATATTTGTTGACAAAAAATTAATAAATAAATGGATCGCGGGAACGTTACTACTAGTGTAGCTTGAATGTACAAACTTTTGATAGTATTCTGTTTTACGAGATAAAAATAAGTAGAACTATGTCATCTTACATGTGCATGTAAGTCATATTACAAATAACAACACCACTCAAAATTTAATAAGCAAATGCTTACTTCACTTTAAAGGACACACCGAAACATTGTCAGGTTCTTTTTCATGTAAGAAAACTGAAGCAAAAAACTTTTTTTTAATTTTAAAAACTATGATAAAAAATAATTTATAATTCAATTTAATTCAAGCACATCATTTGATTGGATAAAGATTTATTTTATACCGTAATTTATAGCTTGCTTACGTCATAATTGTATTACTCCGCTCGTCGTTACCTTAAAATCTGCTCATTGGGAAAAGTCGCCCGCGTGGCGCAGTGGTTAGAGCGTCTGCTCTATAGTCGCGAAGTAAGGAGTCAATCCTTATGTCGCGGGTTCGAATCCCACTGTGGGACGTGGAGACCGGTTCTTCGGATAAGACCGTATAAACCGAGGCCCCGTGTCGCAGTAGGTGCTGGCACGAAAAAGATCCCTCACTGCTCAAAAGCCCTGAGTGCCGAGCATAGGACAAAATTTGTAGCCCTCCACCGGCAAGTGGTGGCGTCTCCATATGAGTGAAACATTCTCGAGAGGGACGTTAAACAATATACAATCAATCAATCATTGGGGAAAATTGTCTTATTTTCTACTTTGAAATACATCAATAAGAAATGAAGCTTATTTTAACTTAAGTTATATGATATAACAAAAATTTTGGCAGTTTACGTTTTTTATGAACCGCTTTGCGGTTATAAACCTTAATTTGCCCAAAGTTATATCGTATCGTATATCGTAAAACTGAAATGTTAATTAAAATACGCTTCATTTAATAGTATTAAAAATGTTTACGTACGTAACTGGCGTGAACCCTATTGCCCTAAGAGATGCACCGATTTGAAAGAAGCACAAAAGGGTACAGAAGATGAATCCTGAAGTGTAAAATTATATTTTTTTTTATTTCATGAACTTGTAAATGTATAATAATAATAATGATAATAATAATAATAATATAAATGGATTGATTGCTGATGATAGTTGCATTAATTTTTTTAGAGTTTTGTTTTCATTCATGATATTTTAACAAAAAAAATATACCTGATCTTTTCAGAGTTGCCATTTCTTCTTCGTGATAATTTTCTCAACATCTGACTCCAAGTGCTTTCTCGTAATTCTAAGGCAGAATTTCATATATTTTTTTTTAATTTACTAAATGCATAGTTATGGGTAAAAAGATGAAAACCGCGCCAAAAACCCTTACACAGCCATAGAAATACAAATGATTTGAGGATGAAAGACATTTGGAGAAAAAAAACGAAGTCCTTGTGTTTCTACTTGCAAATAGTAATGATTTAAGATATCAAGATAATTCTAATATTTTGAAAATTATATGGATTCCACAGAAAGTCATTGTTTTTTTTTGTTTTGTTTTTTTTACTTTTTATGCATAAGTGTATGATAATAACAGACAGTAATCTTTATTAAATCGATTTTAGATATTAAAAAAAAATGAAATTTCACTTTATATTGTTGAAACTGTTGAAAAAGAAGGGCACAATATAATAATGTAATCTAAATTTCTATTTTTAAAAATATTGTTTGCATATTGCTAATATATTCACATCATAACATGATATTTTGAAGCGATCTTCGTCTGCCCATGTTATAACTTAAATATTATTTGTACAGTGGTACTACATGTATATAAAAGCGTTATATTTATATGTGCATGAATATAGAAGCGTGTTATCTTTTACTGGATTTTCCAGATTTAGTTAATGTCAACCAAATTAATACTTACATGTACCTGATTTCTTCATCAGCAAGATTTTAAACAGATAAGTTCTACGTCTTTATTAAAAATCCCTTCAATTTAATATTTGGGTCATTGCCTTCGCAATTGAAGATGAACGGTGCAAGTTAAAAGACTTGTGAAATCCATATGAGTCAGATTTAAGATTGAATATAAGATAAAATTGAGAAAATACATAATCAGTGGTGTGAAAAAAACATACATGTATAAATCATATGCAAATGCCATTACATGAACAAAATTTGATATTTTGTGTAGTTTTGATTTTACAGCTCAGTAAAAAAATATGCACCATACTTATTTAAAAATAAACATTTCAAAGAAAATATAAATTTACGTAGCAGTAGAATAGAACTATGGTACTGATTAATAGCAATTCCATATTTCCTTTTATGGTTTATTTATACATGTAAGTTCGGTTCATTTTCGGATATCCTGCCATAGGCATTCGTTTAAGGTTTTATTTACACGCTAACAGCTGCATTTTTGGTCTATTATATAGTTCTCCATTGTATAAAATAAAACGTTGTCTGCTTAAAACTTAAGTATATTAATGCAGTTTTCTAAGAATGTATCATTCTTAAGTAACAGGACTCTCTTACTGTTCATGAATAACATTTACAAAATTCATTTCCCGAAGGCTTTGATCATTTGCCTAAAAAAGGAATATTTTACTGGATACTTTTATTTAAAGCTTACCGCGGATATTCATCTTCCAACTTAGAAAGAAAAAAACTGGACAACAAAATAGGTTCAGTTCTAACAATTAAAAAATATTGATTTTATTGTGCACAAAAATAATTATTTTGATATTGCCACTATTTTGGTAAGCATTCTTTTACTTTCTCTTTATAATTTACTTGAAAATATTAATTGAATTGCACATAGATTAATAGTTACATGTAAAAAAAAAAAAAAAAAGATAAATGAATGAATGAATGGCACCTGATAAGACCTCTGATGTTTTGGAGGTTCATGTTGGTACTGCTCCTATTTTGTATTGTCTAATGGACTTTTGAACTTAAATACTCTTCGTTATCTAAATAAATTTCATATTAAAAAAGCATATGGTCCTTCTGTACAACAAACAAATGTACACATATTGAAAATTGAATTGATTAAACTTTTATTTTGATCTTTTCCGACACTTTATTCTTTACACAATTTTATTGGGGTGTACTTGCTGACAGATATACAACCCCCAACCTTATTGAATTAACTTATGGCATGTAGTACTGTAGTAGTAGCGATATTCTAAAATCGCATGAAAAAAGTACTGAATCAGCGATATGATTTTAAGACCTATCAACAAATATCTAGAAATTCAGATTTTTTTCCGTGATAAAATCCAATCCATGTTGTATAACAAGACAAAACTGACTTAATTAATTTCTTCAAAATTTTCATTCAACCAGGTAAATAATATATTTATTGATTGATTGTATTCTGTTTAACGTCCCTCTCCAGAATATTTCACTGATATGGAGACGTCATCATTGCCGGTGAAGGGCTGCAAATTTAGGCCTATGCTCGGCTTAAAACGGCCTTTGAGCAGGGAGGGATCTTTATCGTGCAACACCTGCTGTAACACGGGGCCTCGGTTTAAACGGTCTCATCCGAAGGACCGCCCCATTTAGTCCATTTAGTCGCCTTTTACGACAAGCAAGGGGGTACTGAGGACCTATTCTAACCCGGATCCCCACGGGGCGGTAAATGATAGAAGAAATTAAAGGGACGGGATAACAACTACCATACCAAAACGATGAAGAGTATATAAAATAGACTAATGTCTTTCTTTTTATTTTTTTTAAAATTCATTTATGATTAAAATACACTCTAGATCTTGTTGAAGCATATTTTTTGTATGGATCTTTATTCTATTCTACACAATCCCATTAAGCATCATTGCACCATATATCATAAGAAAGTACTAGAAATACCAAGCAATTTGATTGTGGATTTGGTGAAGCCAGTAGATAGCAATGTCTAATCAAACATAAATATTCATCATAAGAGAAACAAATGATTTTTATTTGTTAACTGATTTATCAGAGCTGCACCTCTTTATATGGCGTCACTATGGAAGACTAAACATGTTCAATGATGACATTCACTTTGGAGGACGGGAGAGCCTTTGCTAAGGTGTACGTATCTTCTGACTTGTCAATTTCAATATGTCTAGCAAAGTTGTATACATCATTATTTGGCGTTAAATCGGTGTTATCAATCAAATGATTGTATGTCCCTTCGATGTTTGAGTATGGATCATCTCTGTATCTACTATTTTTCCGGATTCCTTGTAATTGAAACGGTGATTCGCCAACGCATTCGGCGATTTCGGAATGATTGTTTAATACATTTTGGAGTGTTAAATTGCTTCCATTCTGCAGGATAGTTTTTTTTTGGGAATATCTGCTAAATATGATGAAGATATAACTAAATCAGTACAGTTTGTGAGAAGAAATGTAAAATTTAAATGAAACTTACGTAAACTTATTACCGTATAAGCAGAATTTTAAGCGAGTATTACATTTTGGCATTATAAGCGACTGTGCCGAGTTCGCAAAAATTGAACATCGCTAAAAATTAATTGCGTTTTCTTTGTCATAGCATCTTAAGTGAGCATTTGTTATTCGCTAAAATTACATATCGCTAAAAATAAAATACCAGTATTTAAGTACAAATTGCTTTGCAATTTGCGACTCGCTAAAATTTCTTCTTAAACGGTATTCAGCAGTATTCTGCATTTTTCAAAATATTTCTTGGAAGATGTATTTTAAATATTGTATTAGAAAAGGTGCAAACATTCATATATATTTTCGCTTACGTTTTAATCGAACGCTTCCAACATTTCTTGTAAAAATTTGAAGCACAAACAAAGAAGTTAAGGGTACTTACCACAAACAAAATATGGATGCGCGGGTTGATATATATTTTTTGAATGATTTTGATTTGAAATGACATAAATAATAAATCCCTGAAATATAAAGAAATCGTAGGTTTTCCTTGGTGCTTATATATGAGATTTTGTTTTGCCTTCTATATAATTCCATACAAAATTTTGCACAATTTTTTAACCTTATGACAAAATCTTATATAATTGTCCCATTCTACTTGGTAAATATTATTCAGGTTGTCAATTTAAATATAAATCTATGAAAAATAATGCTTATTTCTGAAAAAAAAGTTTGTTTGTGTAATTTATACTTAAGCCAAGAAAATGTCCAATAACTCCAACGATGATTGAGATGACTTCATTTATTAATAATTGATTAAATTGTTTTATCATTATTAAGGTCTTCCGTCTTCACGGAAGACCTTATAGTTATTGTACTGTTTCTTATTATTATTATTATTATTATTTTTCTGACACGATTTCTCGAAAACTACTGGATAGATTTACATGAAATTTTCAGAAAAGATGTGTTGTGAGATTGTCTTGAAAGTTCCAAAAGAGTTTTTGGAAATTTCTCTCTGGTGCCAAGTTTCGGACCATTTTCCTGATTTTAAAATGACATTTTGTCTACGGATAATCTCAAGAACGGTGAAAGATATCAATGTGAAACTTTCAGAGATTATAGATGATAGTAAATACTATCCAGGACGTGACTTTTCGTTCGTCGTCATTACTTCCGGTTGCTACAGGAAGCCAATTTAAAATGTCCAATTTTTCAACTTTTTTTGTTTTTTAATACTTTTCATTTATTTTTGGTATGTTAATAGAAATTATTCTTATAATGCTTACTATATAATTTGTTTGGATATTGATAAATCTAAACTCTAGATATTAGGATTTGAAAATCTGAAGCGGGTCCAAAATGGCCGCTCTCTCTGTCAACTCCGACATTTCGCAATAGGGGTTTACGGAGGCAGCCGAGCGTTTGATTGAAGGAAAGTAATATAAGGACAAATGAAATGTAAAGGAATACTTGGATTGTCACGTCGTAGTTACGTTGCAATTCCATGTCAAACTAAGTTCATCTTAAACGTCTTCTATAATTGGTTTTGGCTAGTTCTCAAAGTAGAAAAAGAAAAGACTATATGTGCGAATGAAATTCGATACCTAATATCTTCTGATTTGCACCTCGGAAAAACAGATCTTAAATC